ATAAGAAATAGGGTTCCTAATAAAGTAAATGGTTGTATGTGCTATGATTATCACTGTGTAATTACTTTACACAATTTAATATTTTAATAATAAATTTTTTGCACGTTAAATTTATAAATATAAAAATTATTATTTGTAAATGTAATAATTATTTAGCAAAAAAAGTTTTACTTATTTTACTTTTTAATTTGATACAATTGAATTTAATTAGTTAAGATTGTAGCATCTGGGTTTCAATTTTTTATTTGATACATTAATTTTTTTCGAAGAGTAATAATTTTTGACAGAGAATTAAAGTTGCAATTACTTAGATTGGAATCAGAATACCTTCAATAAGAATATCCTTGAAGAAAAATTATAATTAATGTTAATTAGGTTGAATACTTAGTATAATTTAACTTGATAATATTTACTGCACAATATTTAGACATCATCGTAAATACAAATGGTTTGTTTTCTGTTTCTGCACCATACTGCACTAAAACTGTCTTTTCACGTAGTTGCGGATTATGTGAGAAATATCTGCCGTACATACACAATCCCTAGTAACTTTTGCGGACATCTAGTGCGGATTACGGATTACGGATTACGGGCTGTATGTGACGGCGCCTTAATAGTTTTTAAAACCTTAAAGTGTAAAATTCAAGCCACAATTTGCTACAGCTACATATGTTCCATTTTTATATCATCAGGTCGATAATATTTACGTGAAGGAAATCTACTGCAATGTACCGTATCACAGTTCTTACCTCGCACCGGCGGAAAATCAGCTTCTGTTTAATTTGAACAAAATAATACCACAGCCAAAAAAACGAAGTTCAAAATGGATCAGCACTTCTATACCTCGCACCGAATGGTTCACTTCAGCATCAAAATTATCATCGGCGAACTATCATACTCGAAGTATATTAAACCCTGTTTTATTTCAACAAACAACAGATCTAATTCCAAGTAACGCTGTGGTCATCGAAATCGCACCAGACGGTGTTCTGCAGTACGTGTTGAGAGGATCCTTACATCCAAACGTGACAAATCTTGTGTTAACTCGACGCAGCGATCAAAACATTGATATAATTTTACAAGGAATTGGAGAATTGTATAATTGTGGTTTACAGCCACAAATTGCCAAATTATACCCACAAGTACAATTTCCAGTTAGCAGAGGAACTCCTATGATTTCCCCATCAATCAGGTAGATATTACCATAATTGTAATTTAGATAATGTAAATTATTATAAAAACAAAGGACTTTTAATTCAAACAACAATATCAAGAGTGTACAGGGCACTTAAGAGTCAAATATAAAGAGAACATTATTTAAAACATGTCACTTTTTAAAGACATTCCAATTGAAATAGCTATAGATTGTGTAAAAGAAAACTGGGAATTTATTTCAAAAACATGTTCTATACCTGTTACTGAGTTTCTGACGGCAGTTAAGTTCATATTAGATTCGACATATTTTCTTTTTGACAACACCATCTGTAAACAAAACTTCAGCACACCCATGGACTTTCCGCTCCAATCATTGCGGATTTGGTATTGCAAAAATTAAATAGAAATGCCTTGATGTTGTTTGATCATGTACTCTTTTATTATAGATATGTTGACGATTTGTGCGCTGCGGTTCCTTCTTCCAAAATAGATTCATTTTTAGAATACTTCAATTCGTTCCATTCTCAACTTCAATTTACGTTGGAAATAGGTAATGATGCACTAAACGTTTTAGACGTCACAATCAAGATTTTTGATAACCAATTAAATTTTGATTGGTACCACAAACCGACCTTTTTTCGGGGAGATTTCTAAATTTTTTTTCAAACCATCCTCTCTCACAAAAAAGAAGAGTTATTATTGGTTTGATAGATCGAGCTCTTTTACTCTTAAAGAGCTCTTTTACTCAGAATACTATACGAAAAATTTGACGATGATAATTGAAATATTATTACAGAATGACTATACTCTTCATCTTATTTTTGAAACAATTAATAATAGAGTCAAATGCATTCTACGCAGGAAGATCGTACCGCACAATAAGTTAGAAGAGAAATATGAATCATCAGTGTCTCCATTGTTCACTCTACCTTTCATTCCATCTTTGACAGATAAATTCATAAAATTGAATAATGACGACATCAGGGTGTCTTTCTATAGTTCAAACAAATTACGTAAATATATCAAAGTACATAAAGATCCTCAACATCACTTATCAAAAAATAATGTTATGTATAAAACCAGCTGTAATGATTGTAATGCAACGTATGTGGGACAGATGGGCAGAAAACTTAAGACAAGAGTTAATGTGTAAATGAACACAAAAATCATATTCGATAGAACACGTCTGCTCGATCAGTGATAACGGAACATAGGTTGCAGCATGATCATGACTTTGATTGGGACAATATAAAAATTTTAGACAACGAACATTGTTATAATAAGCGCTTAATCTCAGAAATATTAAACATTAAAAAACAAAGAAACAGTCTAAATCTACAAAGATACTGAGGGCCTACATAAAGCTTACATGCCGCTAATAAACAAAATCTGATATTGCAATACCAACATGATTTTATTATTCGTCAGTAAGTGTTCGTTTGTCGAGAAAGTAACATACATGCTTATCACGGGTCTCTTTTTTAACATTTTTTTATATTTTTTGGTATATGAATTTTTATCTTTATACAATGTTAATTTTATATTGTGACAAACTTTTCCACTGCAATATTAGTATTTGTTTCATCACAAACTAACACACTGACGCTGAAGGATTTAATAATTGACGTGCTTCTCTTCGACATGCAAAATTTAAATATATGACCAGTTAGGTGAGTTATTTTACTAGAGTGACGCTTTTGCTCGAATTCTTTTTCGTTTTCTTTTAATTATATCTATCTTGACTTTTCACTAGAACATCAGGAAATTCTAAATAACCGATCGTCCAACCGTTTTGCAATTTCCGTCTTTCTACAAAATCATCTCTCTGGACTTCATTAACATGTTCATAATTTTAAAATACATAGAAGGAAAACAGGCACTCGAGAGTCAATACGTTAAGATGTTAAAATGATCATATCATATTCAAAATATTCATTACAAAAGTAGAATAAATTAGAAAATAAAAGTGTTTAAACATTACTAGTTTCGGCTTCCAATTTGAGCCCTCTTCAGATGTTCGACAAAATTTTCCGCAATACAATTATCAAAAATATACATAAAATTCACAAACTGAGATAAGTCGTCGGTCATTTTAAATGTAAAAATAGAAGTGTTCTCTCAGAGGGATGAAAAAACTCGTCAAGCGATTGGAAGATCGTTTGTTAAAGATCCTCGTAGTTCTAAAGATAAAACAAAAAAAAAACGTTGCCAATAATCCAACCACGTAGTCAAAACAAGAAACCTCGTCACTCTGATAAAACACTCACCTCTGGGAAAATCCAAAAAAATCCATACTGATAAAAAGTTTGCCAAAAATAAGTTCAATATTGTAAAACGCAACTATTATCACATCACAATGGTGAAGTCGGTGATAAAAATAATATTAAATAATCACATAATACATGTAACACGTCCGAATATAAAATAAGACAAGATGACATATCCACTCGACGTGCGAAACTGTAATGCGAGATAACTTG